ATTATGAAGAAACAGGCCGATGGGCATAGGAAGGACATCCAGTTCGAAGCAGGAGAGAAAGTGTTCTTAAAACTCCGACCATACCGGCAGAAGACAGTGGCCAACAGAAGAAATGAAAAGCTCGCCCCAAGATATTTTGGACCTTATGAAATATTGGAGAAAATCGGAGCAGTGGCATATCGACTTAAACTACCACTCACGGCAACTATTCATCCGGTTTTTCATGTGTCACAGCTGAGAAGAGCTATTGGAGATTACACAGCCAGCTCGGAGCTACCAGCCACACTGACATAAGAGTTAGAGGTGATTATGGAACCCTTAGAGTTGATGGGGGTTCGTCAGAAAGAAGAAGGGGCAAAAGAAGTACTGATCAAGTGGAAAAATCTTCCAGACTACGATGCCACGTGGGAGCTGTACGAAAGGGTGAAGCAACAGTTTCCTAGTTTTCACCTTGAGGACAAGGTGATTCTTTGGGAGGGCGGTATTGATACGGCGGTTCCTTTGGAACCGCCTCAGCCAGCCCATCATGGGCCGGCATGTTTTGGGCTCTAGATTCTCTTGTCTAGAGATTTGGGAGAGACGATCCTTCTCTCGAATTGAGGATCACTTGTATCTTGCTTTCGTATTGTTTTTTATTTGTTTCCCTTGTTGCAATCTATTATTTTGGGCTGATTTCGCCCAGATTTTGGCTTATTTCTCGCTGTTTTGTCTCCAATTAGTAATAGGTTTGCATGCGAACTCAAGTATTCCCTTAGGGTTGCTTGCGAACTCAAGTATTTCCTATCAAACTGCCTTTATAAAAGCACCCCATTCTCATCTATATGAAATATGATAATATGCATGCATACCATCAAGGCATCAACGATGTGCAAACAAGATTTTGTAAATAAAGGCACTATTAAGGAAAACACTGCAATGATCTGTCAAGGAATCATGCACATTAATATATCTTCATGATGGCTGAAATGTTCTTAAGCTATATTAATATATTTCAAGAAACAAACTACAATCTCGCAAAAACGAATCTGGTAAAAACCCATCTTAAAGGGTTAAAAAACACAAAAATTCTGTTTATTAATTACCCACAAAAGAATCAGGCCATTGGCGCACGTCCTTTAGCCAAAGCAATTAATATTTCTCTCAATGTGATAAATTCATAGTTAATAATAACAAAATTCCGTATGTGATAAATGAGTCAATAACAATTAGATAAACTCTTCTTCAGAGAACCAACTGAAGCACAAGAAGTAAACCAGCATTCCTTAATTTCAAATAATTTGACTCAAAAGCTAAAAAATTGACAAATACTTACATCTAGAGCAGCTCTACCATTCGTCAACTTACCCTCTGCCTCGCCACTGGTAATTACATGGCATACAAAAAGAAAGCTAATTCAGGATACAACAAAACAAAAAACCAGCATCAATGGCACCAGAAAATAATAATAATATAATAACAAACTATAATATCAATACTAGAATCTTCTAAAAATTCCAACTATAATCATGTGCATCTTGAAGTGCATTTGAACCTCTGTGTGGCAGCTAAGGCGCCCTTCTTGTGTGAATTATCATTTTCTGTGTCCGATGATGCATCAGATCCAACATCTCCTGAACGTGCAAATGTGTCAAACCAAAGTGCAAGTGAGCAGTAGAACGATGTTCTGGTGACTATCAGTTCTCATGACTGTCAAACAAGTGAAATCTAGACAGCTATACTTGTCAAAACTAATAATTGAACACGTTAACAGTTAATCTAAATGGAGTTGCATATAATGAAAGAAACAAGGGCCAGCACGAGCGGAAAAGGCCAAGGACACTCCAAAATGTCTTAGGAGAGTCCATGATATATAACTAAAGTACCATCATCTGTCCAGTCATTCTGATCGTCTTCTTGCACTTTTGCTCGCTTGTCAATGACCGAATAAGCAGAAGCCCCTGAAAATTTAAAATTGGTGCTCAGTTTATGTAGAAACCAAACCTTCCGAGAAAGTAAAGCTACTTGAGAGCAAGACAACAACAGGAATCAAAAAAGCACTGAGGCTTGTAACCATGTTGCTAATTGAGTGTGAGACAGCAACAACAGGAACTACTAGATCATAGAAACTAGTATAAAATCACTCCATGGCACTTTGGTTGATAAGACTACCTCTTGAGCGTTTCTTTGAATTTGATCTCGCCAGCTCAATGTGTAGGGTGGCTCTAGTCTCAGGATCAAAAATGGTTCTCTAAATTCAAATGTGATCAAAGTCAAACTTATGATTATAAGAAATAACTGATAAAAATTAAAAAAATGCGATATTATCAACAGAGAATCAAATATCCAATCAACTAAGCTGACAAATGAGGGCATGAGATATATTTCTTACTGTCTTTTTTTTTTTTCCTTTAATGATATGTCAAACTAACCTGATGCTTATCTCCAGCAATCAATTACTTTCTCTATCCCACAACAATAGCTAGCTAATCAACAACTAAAAAGATCAAGAGTGTGAAAACTGTACCGAATGTAGAATAGGAAGGAGAGACTCAGAGTACAAAATGGATCAACCATGGTTGAATTGGGAGTTGAACAAAATGATGTAATAAATACTAAAATTATTTAAATAAGTCAAAATGACATAATAATGATGTAATAATGACACAATAATGTAAATTTGTAACTAAAGATAAACAAAACTCATACACAAATAAAGTATTCAGTAAATTTAAATTTAAAAATATTCAATCTTTAAATTTAGTTCACATTTAATATAAATTTAATTATATATATCCTAATATATTTAATATAAATCATTGCTAAATTTTTTTAAATATTTAAAAATAATTTACACCTATATATAATATACTGAGTCCATATCATAAATTTACACCTACAGATCATTCACGTTAGATCATTTATATTTAATAAATAAATAAAACTAAATTTTCATAATATATATAATTAAATAAATAAAAAAATTAAATACAATTAACTAAAAAATAAGTAATGTTCACATTATAAAATTAATGTAAAAATCTCTTAAAAAATATATAGTGCATGCGTTATGAATTTGAGAACTTTAAGTTAGTTATTTAATGTCACATCACTAAGAAACTTTATCTTAATATTATTTATATACTTTTTTTATAATAAATGCTTTATTAACTCATATGAAGTTGTGGGACCATGTGAAAATGCTTGGCTAGTGGTTGAATGGCAAATGATTATTACAGGACTTTAATTATTGCTCATTACAAAATCATGTTAAGTTCAATATTTTATTCTATATTTTATGCTAAACTTATTAAATTAATTTATTTAATTGTTTAAATAGGATAGAAAGTGAACTGATTGGTTCTAAGAAATACGGATCGATTCGATGATTCACCTAGGTAATTCTAATAAGTTCTTACGGTTTGATGTAGGGGCAGTTCTTAAGATAGACCTTACTAGTCATATGATCGATCCACAGTCAAATAGGTCAAACTCGCCGGTCCGGTCCAATTTTCAAAATCATGAAAATACTATCAATGCTTAAAATGTAGAGCACGTGACTACAAAAAATAAAACAGAAAATATTGTTTCAATATGGAGCAAAGAAATGTCAACATTAAGCTTCAAATTACATGAAGCTCCCTGATAATCTCAAAAATCCCCAATGTAAGTCCCAAGCCAAATAAGAATGATTAAGGCTAGTATTAGGTTGACATCCAATCATAAAATGAAAGCTAAAATTCATGTATTCTAACATTGGCAAGTATTAGGGCGATATGCCAAAGCTATGAACCATTATCTAACTATAATGTAGTTAGATATGACAGGCAATGCTTATGCTGATGCTTTTTATTTTGGGTTATAAGTAAACTTAAAAAACTAGTTTTAGTATGAAATGAATTGACTACAACAAAATAATTAAGAAAGGATAATTATAGGCATGATTTTATCAACAAGTTGGTTATAGTAAGAAAGGATTCAGCACAATTATAGAATAAAAGATAAAAAATGTGATAGGACAATTTATGCTTGATTTTGCAGTAACACAAGAATGTGCAAAAGTGATCCTAATTTTAAGAAATGTGAAAAACATTAATCTCTCTCTCTCCACACACACACACACACAAATATATATATATATATATATATATACATACTTGAAAGGATAAAAAAATAATTTGACAAAATTGTAACATGAATCCAAGAGAAATTAGACCATACAACATAGACAGATCAATGGATGTATGTTATAAAAGAAAAAAATAAAGTAATTAAATTAAATAATTTCCCGAGATAAAATGAAAAAACTTTAAAAAAGTAAGAAGTGAGTCTACAATGATATATTTTTTACGAATTATAACTTTTGAATTGAACCAAATCTAGCACAGAATAAAATGTGCATTTATATAAAAAAATTAAAATATATCCAAAAAGTTGAACAAGTCAAGAAAACATTCAAAACAATAGAAGACTTAGCGATAGAGTGAAAGTGTAGAAAAGCTTATCAAAAGAAATTTGTTTTCAAAGAATGGTAGAACATGAATTATCATCAAGATATCCAATAATGATATAAGGAGGCTACAGATGTTGCAAAGGAAGAAAGCAAAGCTAAAGCTAAAAGTTGTGAACAACATTTATAACAGGCAAGGCACTGGTGATGAACAAAAAGATGATATATCCCAAACAAAACAAAAAAATATGTAAGGATTTTGATCACATTATGTGTGTTAGGAGTGAAGATAATAAAAACACAATAAAAATGAAGACGTTACGGATAATAAATTATTAAACGAGAACTTTCAACAACAATTTGTTTAGAATAACAAAAACAATAGAATCATAAAATACACTATACAACAACTTGAAAAAAACAAAGTCAACTTTGCTTTCATATACGATAGACAATAACATTTGGAGGGCCAAGAGAGATGTTTGAATAGTTTCATTGATAAATTACACTTATGAAATATTAAAAACTAAACTGATATCAAGATTGATGAAGAAATATTTTGAAACTAATCTTAACAACAACAAAAAATGTTTATAATTGTGGTGATTAAAAAGGAATCAAAGCTACGAGTAATAAAATGCATTATGAAAAGGGGGTAACTGAATATTAGCTTTGAAAAACCACAATGATATTTCAGAATTAATTTGCCTTATGCTAATAAGATCTATCATGAAGGCAACTGCTATAATGAGACAATTAACAAAAAAAAAAGACAGGAGCATTTTTATGTGTTACATTAATCTTAAAAAGGCATAATAATTGAATACCACCATAAAAAGGAAAAAAGGATCAAAATATATTTATGTTATTAAAATCGTATATGATGGAACCACTACAATTTTAGAACCAGTGTCTACGAGTTCTACTCACAGTTGAATTGCATCATCTCTTTTGCATGATATATGGAGATGCATGCAACATAAATCTAAAGTGAAGTGGAATGTTCAAATTTGCATGTCATAATTATAAAAAGGCAAGATATTTACTTAAATTAAAATTAGAACAATAGAAACTTAATTAAGAAGATAATCTGCTTCAGATTTATATAGCAAATACTATAATATATTATTGAGTGGATATAAATTAAAAATTATTAATTAATACTATTGATAGATTTAGTGGTCCTTAATTTTATGAGTTTTAAGTATATTGGATCTACTATAAAAAAAGGGATATAAATGAGAACATAAAATCTTGGGTTAGAGGTGGGCGGTTAAAATGGTGAAGTATTTTAGGAATACTACACAACAAAAGATTAAAGAAAATTGACAATAGATTTTATAATCATAAAACAAATTAGCAAGCACATAATTAAGAGTGATAGAAATAAGAAAATTAAAATGGATGTACAGCAAAACAAATAAGTAAGAAAAAAAATTGGAGAAATGATAGGAGTCATAAAAATATCACCAATTAGAGATAATGAAGATTAGAATTAAGTGCTGTCAAAAATATATTTTACATAACTATTCAAATGAGTAGTGGCAGAATAAAACTATTATCAGTGGTTCAAGAGAAGAATAAAAGAAAAACATAGATTAGAAGAATCAAAGTAGGGAGTGTACTAATGATTCATTTAACCAATACCCTCTAATTGTAGACATAGTAGTTTCATGATAATTACAAATGTTTACTACTCTAAAAATATCCATACTAACATTTCACACTCTTCAATTGTTAATAAGAGTGCTAATCTAAAACCAAGTGGATTCGTCCTTTTTTATCCTCCAAATATCGTATCTTGGCATGCAAAATGTGAAATGGTCATATCAAAATTTTTCCTTCAAAAGGCTTGCTCATAAATAATTTTTGCTTATTCCTTTAATGTAGCCTAAATAAGAAACTTTTAATTTCCAAAGCAACAAGAAAAACATATATTGGACAAATAGAGTGAAATGATTTGCAGTCTCCCTTGATATAACAAGCCATTATAAACTTAACCTCACCGAAATAAAATCATTCTATATATAAATTCCCATTCAAATGATCTCAAATCTTTATTATACTTATCCCAACTAATTTAAATTGGCTTAATATATCCTCCTTTAATTATCATTGGCAAGTGCAACATTAAGCGTCAACTTGATCTTACACTTGTTTTTGCACTCTAGCCATGTTATCTATAACCCGCCTCTCTCCTTATCGCAATCCTATAAATGTATGCATTTTTACTTCATCATTTTTTCGCCATTGTATTAGCCCACATCACCAAAGTCTACTTCCAATATCATGTCTTTAATATGTGTGACTCCTACTCGCAGAATATTATCACATTTTGCTCTATTGAACCTCATTTTACCATATGCAATCCTATTGTCCCATATCAAAACATATAAATAATGCTAATAGCAAGACATCTATATAAACCAAATATCAAATGAGAATGCAACATATTTCCTTGCAAATTTTCCCACGCACTTCTGCTATTCTTGTTTTACATTTTCATTATTAGTCCCAACATCAAATAAAAAAGGTTAAAGATTGATGTGAAGTCAACAACTAATCATAACGTTATGCCAAAATTTATGAAATAAATTAAGTTTTAAATTGTTCATTCTAAAACATTCTCTAGAGCATTGTGCCACAGCCTAACTCCATTATAAAGAGGAATAGGAAGGGTTTTGCTAGAAAATCACTCATAAATGATAGAAAATAATTTAATGTAATTGTGATAAAAATAGACATAAATTAGCTTAAGACATCACCAACTAAGGCCATAACTTAACCCAAAAGAAACTAAGAATGGGCAAGGGTCAACCGAGTTTAAATGATTAAATTTATGACATGAAATTTGGAGATTTTAAATGAGAAAATAATATATTTAGTGGACATGGTGATTATAAGAAGGGTATATATCATTGGTTTGTAAAAAACTAAATGAAAATGGGGTTAAATCTAAAAAACATTACAAAATATTACAAGGTATGCTAGATTCAGAGGGTTAACAATAGGAATGAATTATTGATAGTAATTGGCAGAAAGTTGAAAGATAAAATTAATGAAGTTAATAGGATCAATGGTGATTAAGAATTTTTTTAAGGAGAATATTATAAATGGAATTAGTGCTTATACTCCTCAAGTTAGATTAAAATATATTTAAAAATCAATTTAGAGAACTTGGATTGAGATACGAGCTCGAAAGGATAGCATGTGAGAGAAATTTGTAATAGCAAACATATATTAGGGAAAAAAATTAGAATATCAATTAGTTACATTTAAAAGTGGAGTGACTATATTATAGTTATTTCTCTTAAAAAAGATAAATCCTTTGGCAAATATTGTATGTGATTCCAGAAGAATATACGACCACATAACATAAAGGAATACATATAGATGTGTACTTTAGAAGAACAAAAAAAAAGTTAAAATACCTAATTTCCTTGGAATTATATTATGAAACTTGAAAAGTAAGAAGTTCTTAATCTTTCAAGAAATTGATTGTAAACAAAAGCAAATTAAGATTTTACAATTGTAGCACAAACATAATATGAGATAAAAGGACGAGTTCATTAAACAATGTTTCAGTAAATTTAGACAATTTAAAATAAAATAATATAAAAGTTGTAGAGTTAGGGGTCATAAAGGGTTATGAAACATAAATAATATGCTTCTAATTAGTGGCAAAAAATAACTATTTATTGGACTTATGATGAATAAAGAGGATAGCGAGTAAATTAAAAGCTACAATTTTTTACGATTTCTATAAAAAATTGTGTATTTAGTAAAAATAAAAAATGATATATAAATTACCTAAAAAGGAAATGAAAATTTTAGAAACTTTAACCAACTTTAGATTCATTAAAGTAGTGATGATAACGTGAGGTATTAGATAAGGACAAAGACATCAAGAAAAAGATAAAATTGTTATTTTGAGAAACTGCTAAATGAGAATTTTAAGGAACAAATGTTTTTGAAAAAGCATAATGAACAAAATAATAAAATATATCATATAATGATCCAAAAAAATGATGTGGAGTGAGCTTTAAAGAAGGTGTGTAAGTATAAAGCATTGGATTTAAATAATACACCTATTTAGATTTGAAGGGAGGGTTATGAGTGTTGTTAAAGTATGGTTACCCACTGTTTGATAGTTTTTGAATGATAAAAGAATATCAAATAATTAAAGAAGAAGCATTTGATGTCAATATTTAAGAACAAAAGATATGCTTAAGATTTTGGTAATTATAGGGACATCAAAACTGAGTCATATAATTAAATTACGGGGGAACATAAGGGGGCTGAGATATAAAAATTTTTGTTGATTCTAGGAATCAACGGTTGTATATCATGAAGATTTGCTATGAATGTTATTTTTTGCCATAAGGATTTAAAAAAAAAAAAGAAATGAGATCTCTAACTTTTATCAATCTTGAGATCATGCAATTAAATATCAAGGAAACTGATTTTGTGTCTACTTAAATAAAAATATGTCAAGAGTATGTGGAGGTAATTTTAGAGTGTCCAAGAGTTCATAAGCATGGTAAAGTTGACACGTAAAATCGAGATTAAGTTTGTATCTGCTATATTGGTTATGAAAACACATAAATCATATTATAGGTGATCCACGACAAGCAATGATAGTACAAGAAAACTACTATAGTTGGATTACAACATGGAATAGTGAAAAGAAACTTAAAAATTTTCCAGGAAGCTCAAAAAGATTTTGGAAATTATCACTAAAATGGCCTTACGTCTAATGCTCCCATTGCAGCCACAGCTGAGTGATGATTGATAAATGTAGCAAACGCAACCGCCTGGCAAGTAAAAAAAAAACTCAGATTCAGCAACCATTGAAGATATCCAGCAATGATTTATTTATCTTTTACACATATTTCTACAAGAATGTAACATTTAAGATCATACAATCTCTCAAATATGACACATTCCTTCTAAAGAGATAAATGAAAAAGGTAGTAAATAAAAACTTGCTATTGTTCCTCTGGATGAAAAACCCAATAGTTTTTAAATTTGCATGTGAATCCTTTGGTTTAGATAAATAAAAGTAAATACTCTCGTCACTACTTTATTACCACCCGAATAACCTTTTTTTATTCCCTCTACCACGAAGATCATTTCTCCATTCTGTTACCATGCCACGTCAACAGTGATCTTTTATACGATCCCATACAAGCTTGTTGGCAAGTTGATCCACTTACACCAGATCCAGATGGTCCCACAAAATTTGAGGAATCTAGATGGGATAATGGGATCTGCTTTATCCTACACATGAGTTCTTGCACGTCTAGACAAGACCACAACAAGATCTTTGAAGTCTTGTGTTGGATCTCCAACAAAATCATCAAGATCCGAACTCTTTATGTTTTCTTTTCTTCTTATCAATGTTCTCCTGACCGCCAACACGAGCTAGATATGACAAATGTAAACCATATTGAAGCAGCTGTCCGAGGAGGATAGCTCCTTTGGCTGGCCATCAAAACAGAGACTGCTAATTAGTGCCAAATTCTATGTGCATACATAGACTGCACCTAATCCAAGCAATCATGTTTGGGCTGGCTATGAAATAGTTGCAATCTAAGTAAAGATGTCTAGGTTGCAGCCAAAATAGGCATGGCTACAATGATTGACCTATTTTGTTATTCGGCCATATATTCTTGAGCCAACCAACAAAAATTCGTTTGTTAAATAAATGTTATTTAGTAAACCAAAAACATTATCCTCTAACACTAGGCATCAGCAGCGACAGGACCAAGATGGCATCCCGATATCAGCACAAGAAGGAATATGACGTAAGGAATACCACATGGGGGATCATGCCGAAAAGCAATAAGACAGCAAGAATTTACTCGGCACATCTCTCGTTAGAGATTGCAGAATCCGTAAGAGCAGAAACTGTTAGTGCCACTGAGTTCCTAAATGGATCCCAATAAGCTCTTCTGTAAGAGCTACTAGTACACTACCCTCTCTACCACCTCTTATGAAACAGTCGTAGAAGATATGGACTATTCGCGTAAAAGGAAGAGAATTAGAAGAAGCTCATCATGGAATTAGCCCAAAATCAATAGAGATATTTTTAACAAATTTTGCGAAAGAAACCCCAGCCGACAAATGGGGGGTAAAACGTTACCTGATTGCCACGGCCAGTGTACTCAAGCTGGCAATACTCGAATCCATGATGACGGCTGAAAAGATTATGGATCTCACGGGCCTTGACGTCATCAGGGAGCCCCGAAACGAAGAGTGTGTTGATCTTCTGTTGCTGGGGGTTAACATTGACAATCGGAACCGGAGGAGGAGGGTGCGTGTAATGTTGAACGTAGTAGGGAGAGTGCAAACCAACGGCAGGATTCGATGGATGGAAGTGGCCGGCTGGCGAGTGACTTGCAGGCGGCGGCGCAGGGTAGGGCAAGGGTCTCATATCGTAGGGGTAATCGTGATAGGGCTGGGCCGTTGCGTGCGCCATGGATTTAGTGTCGATGAAGATTATAAGAGTTGCAGCGGGGGTATGGAAATGAAGCGGAAGAAGGATCGGGTAGATGACCGATGGATGCTAATTAGGGTTTTTCATTTTTATTGTGGGATGGGAAAATTTACATAAATATCACTTTATAATATCCTATTTATATATCTAATACTTAAAATTTTAATATTACATGCATATCATCCTATATTATTGAAAATAAACTATAAGTAGTATGTATGTAATATTAAAATTTTAAGTGTTAAATATGTAAATAGAGTAGTATGCAGGGGCGGATGTAGTGTGGAGGCACTGGGGTAACGTGCCTCCACAGCCCTTTTTAAGCAGCAGCCAATGAGGTAAATTTTTTAATATATTATATTATTAATATCAGCTATTTTAACATTTATGACAGAATAAAGTAATAAACTAAATGAATCTTTTACCTTTTTTATCCCAAAGCTGGCAAACAGGCAAAGCATTAAATATTGAACTTTTTCCAAATTTATCCCGCTGGCAGAGTGGCAGATATCTATTCCCCAAAATCCATCTTTTTGCTTTGGCCCAGGCTTTTCAGTTTTCATCTCTCCCAGCTTTGGCCCAGTCGCAAGGGCGGAACTGTATGTACCTTAGGGGGGGCAATTGCCCCCCCTCAAAAAAAATTTTTTTACTTATAGGAGTGTAAAAAATTCATTTTGCCCCTCCTAAAAAATCAATTTTGCCCCCCTAAAAA